TCAGCAGAGCACGGTTACTTATATGTGTGTTTGTACTGACATCAGATGAATGCTGTTCATTTGTTTGATTGTCACTTCTCCTCCCTTCCTCCAGTATTCCTCCTACTCTCCCTTTGGAAGGTTTAATCACCCAATGTAAGGCTTTTTAACAGGAACAAGGGCACTCTTAAGATAAAGACATTGGAAAATAACTTTAAACAAATACAGCATACAGTTGTGCATTTAATAAGCGTGACTTGCATATGCATACACGCATGACACGGCCCCTCTTTTCCCACTCAAGCCATAGGGTCAAACACTACTGTGTTTCGCCTACACTTACTGTGTGTGATCCACACCCTCCATCTAAAGCTCATACTGATTCCTTCCGAGTTAAACCAGCACCATACAGACTCGCTGAGGAGGAAAGGTCAAATGAGAAGAAATTCAGCTTGTAGCACTGCTGGACATTGAGGGGGGGAAGGCATGGGAGGGCTTGTAGGCAAGTTAAGCATTAATTTGTAAAGCGTGTTTGTCATGATAACCATCCAGCATTCAGACACTCATGATTACTACCTTCCTAATAGCTGCATATGACTAACTTTATATTCCTGTAAATTTACTGTGTATGGTGTCTGTGCTGTATCTGATAAAACCCATGTACTTATTAGCTGATCTTTGAGCCATGATGCCCAATATGCAAGCAAGGCAATCTTTACTTGTATAATCATCGTTTAAAAAAAAAGAGGCGGAAATACCGTGAGCATAAAGTAGCATAGACCTTGATTAGTCTCGCTACAAAGAAAAGCAGAAATACAGTCCTGCATATAGTGACTTTTGACCTCTGCTTCACCCGTGGCTACATCCTGGCCTGCAGTGGTTGTAACAAGAACATAATCAGACAGGTCGTATACAGAAATTGCCATCTTATCTATGCACCTTAAAATGTTAAATGTGCTTTTCCTCATTCACCCACCTAAGGAAATAGGGAAGAGGCAACAATTCCTGCTTTCTTCCAAGGCAAAAGCTATGGCATTGAGACCGCTCATCAGCAATGCAAGTCTTCTTCAGCATCACATATGAAAGGGAAGCAGGCGGACACACGACAAGCAGATGTGGAGTTTGCTATGAGGACCTCTTTAAAATACAGATCTGCTCTCAGTCTCCCCAGCCCAGCTGTGGCACCAATCTGTGGCCTCTCCCTGGGTCCCTCACCTGGGGTTTTAGTAGCTACTGGAGAGCAGATAAAAGGATCAGCTATCCAGCTGTGCGCAGTGCCTCAGGTCACAGAGTGCCAGAGGGGCCCCAACAATGTTTTGCAAATGCATGAGGTGTACCTCTGGCTGCAGGGAGTGGAAGGAGGCAGTCAACTGAGTCAATGATGCTTCGTGCACACAACTTGGAAGTTCAGTTTAGGATGTGCCCACACAACAGTATGACTGTGGCAAGGCAGGATCTGAAACACCTTCTGCTGTATGCCTGCCTATAGGCCAGACTAATGCCACTGGACTAGTCTTCTGCATCATCCAAACAGGAAAGCAGGGTTTAATTGGTTTTGATTAACTCGTCTTTCTAGATGCAGGAGGGTTAGGTGAGTACAAGGAATCTTACAAAACCAGCAATTTCAGAAAAATGCAGCAGGAAGGAACAGGTCATGGGGAGTGGATGGGAAGGAAGGTGGGAAGAGTTATTAATTAGTGTTTATGGAAAGGACTCCAGTTTCTCCAGAACAACAGTGGAGAAACCAGCAGTGCACTGGGACAATAGCCATATGCATTAACACTGCACGTTTAACTCCAAGAGGTCCCAAGAGATGTAAAATGAGCTCACAAGGCCCCCGCTAATGAATATCCAGTAATAGTCCAAGCTGGTGCAGTACAGGGAATGGACGTTTGCTATGGTCAGCCATGGTGGCTGGTGACACTCCTTCAATGGGACCCTTCATTCTTGGTACAGATTCCTTGTGCCAGGACTGCAACCAGCTCCTCCAGAAAGTAAAAGGGACAACTCTTCCCTTGACATCCCTAATCTTTCCAGATTGTAAAATCATTCATAGGCTTTAAGGTTATATGGCAGGACTGTTTTCTACCATATGCATGACCACTACATAGCACCAGGGAACACCAAACTTTTCAGAAATGGCTAAGTGCTGTTACAACACAGATAATAATAATAATAGAAAGAAGAACAATACAATGGCACCTGCACCGCCACACTACACTGAAACAAACTGCAATGCCTGACTGCCGAAGAGCACTAAACGGTTCTCTCATCACTCTTGTCACAGATATCTCTACCAAGTGTGGGTGGTTTTTGTTTCATATTTCACCTCCAACAACATACAATGAAGTTGCAAATGGCATTACCGAACATGCCAAAATGCCCATGCAGTAAAGATAACACTGAAATTGTGATATAAATCTATTTTCAGCTTTCATCTGAATATTCAAGATGTCTGCTCTTATCTCTGTTATATATTCTTTTTATATTGTGAAACATGACAAATACCGAATGGCAAGAGCAATCAGGCTATGGAGATTGCCTCCTGGGACAGAGCTATATGTTCTCATAGGTCTTTTTTCTCTTTTACCTTTTATTTTTATGATTAGTCAATCGCTGTTTAGCCACCTCAGGGAAATGCAAGGTGAATTAGGAGAAAGAAGGTCAAGGTTATCATGGAAAAGTTTAATCCCTCCTCAGTGGGAACCGGTTAATAGTTATGGTTAGACTCAAGTGCGGACCTCTGTTGGGAATCCCAGTGAAGGTCAAAGGCAGAGAGGGAAAAAAAGCTGCACTGAGATCTTAGACAGTCATAAGCAGACAGATGTTCCTAGGCTTTAATGAGCAGTCTTGGCTCCAGGCCTTTCTTGGCAGAGCTGTTTAGTTTTAGTATTTTTCCTTGTAGTGCAAGGTATGGCTCTGGTTAGTTGGCTCTGCTTAGCTAACTGCTGATGATTTTTCCATCTAAATAATGGTTTGATAATGAAGAAACCAGTTCATAATCTGTGACTTGATGGATTAGGTCATGGGCAATGATGTGCAGTTGTAATCACGAAAAGTAAAAATAAATAAAAATAATAATTTTGGTTTAAATGAGAACCAGTTTTAAAAGTTTAAACAGCAAATCTGATGGAGCTTCTACTGCAAGTTCTACCACTCTGTCTTATGTTTTTATCGTCATGAACAATAAACTGAAGGAAAATAACATGAAAAGGACTTTTTCTTTACCAGTTCTATTTCCAAATCAGCCTGGTGGAGGTCATGCCCCTACTTTGGAAACTAATCTGGGTTC